AGGAAGGAAGGAAGGAAGGAAGGAAGGAAGGAAGGAAGGAAGGAAGGAAAAGAAAGAAAAACCATGCAGGGCAGTAGTGGTGATCCATGCCTTTAATCCCAGCACTGGGGAGGCAGAGGCAGATGGATCTCTATGAGCTCAAGGCCAGCCTGATCTATAAAGTGAGTTCCAGGGCAGCCAGGGCCATTACACAGAAACACTGTGGCTCAAAATACAAACAAACAAACACAAAGCAAAACCACCTCCAATTAGTCACTGATCGTCCTCAATAGATCACAGTGCTCTCAAATGTAAACATCTTAACAGTACTGTAAACTCAAGTATCCCCCAAAGAAGCCTCCCGTTACACGGTACGTTCTACGGAAGGTAATTAACTGATAAGAACTTTTTAGACTATGGAGTGGTTCAAATGTTGCAGGTCCAGAGCCTAATCACGGATTTTTATGGGCTATCTTCAATTATCCCCCTTAATAGCCATTCACTGCGCCTCTATGCCTGACCTAACTATGTCTATCACGTGGAACCTACGCAATATATTAACTTAGCCCACAACCTTCCTCCAATCCAAAACTTCGGGACCTTGTGAGTATTTGAGGCCTCCGGGAGAGGTTTCCCTACACGTTGCTGTTACTCATCTCCCTGATGGGCCAATATATATTTGAAGTGTTTTATGACATTTTTGGCGGTTACTATAAAAACTTTAAGGAACCATGGAACCGAGAATTTGAAGTAACCTAAGTCTGCATCCCCAGACTACGGACATTTAGATTTAATTCCAACATAAACTCTCACCCGATTTGGGGTAGAGAGCTGGTTTTTTATGCTAACAGTACCTTATGGCAGTAGTAAAGATAGAGATCACAAGCAGGGTCTGACTTAGAATAAGGATTTAATAAATGTTATTTGGGGACTCCCTTTCATCCATTCCTTGATCTTGACACAAAGGCCTTCACTTGAAACATTCCCCTTTTCCAGGCGATGGCGCCTTGATTTTAAGCCTTAGTCTCAATGCTCTGAAGGTCCTCATGCTATCAATTTATCTATTTCCGGCTCTCATCACTCTTTGGAGCGGAACAGTTCCTCTCTGTCCCCGCACTTCTCACTCCGGTCCCTTTCCTAGCCGACCCTGGCCAGAGGTCAAGAGAACTTTTCCCGCGAAATGGTGGCAGCTCCGGAAGAGGGGTGGGCGCGAAGGATTCTGGGGATTGTAGTCAAAAGCGCGCAGAGGTCTGCAACCACTCAGATGAAAACGCCCCAGCTGTGAGCACCGAGAGGGGAAAGGCAACACTTACCGAGACTCGGGATCCCGCGCCGGAGCTCCAGACACAAGAGAGGGAGAGCAGAGAGCAAGAAAAGGCCAACGACGCCACGAGAAGCCATGGCGCGAAGGACTCGCCGGGCGCAGTGCCCGCCCCTTCCGGCCGTGCCTCCCGCGAGCTTGGAGCGGAGGCTCGCGTTGTAGGAATGAAGGAAGGAGTGTTAGGCCCTGAGGCTGGGGCGCTGGCCCGAATGAGATAAGGCCATTGTCCTTGGTGAGACAGCGCGGGTCATCCCCTTCGGTTGGGAGGAGTCCAGGAAGGCCCTGGCCTGTGGATCTGATGGTCGCGATGTCCTGATTGTCCGACTGTGCGGGTCTAAAAAATGGTGCTCAGAAGACAGAAATGACTTTATAGGGGCAGTTGACGCTGCGAGGCCCCGTGGCCTTGCGGCACTTGGGGGTAACTGGACTTTTGGTTACTAGCTAACTAGTTACTAACCATCTTCTCTCCCTAACAGGTCCTGCGGGAAGCTTAAAAGTGGGGCCTGCTGCCGAGTGCCTGTTCCTGCCCCACACCCGCGTGGAGATCCCCTAGACCTGCTCCCCCTTACTGTCCTCCATGTCATTTTACCTACACGCGTTACTGTTATGACTTAACCTTGGCCTCACAGTGACTTCACTATCACTCCATGACTCAGTTCTGGTAACTTAGGGCCTCCCCACTGACAAGATTCCCAACTTTGCAAATCGTCAGTCATCACTCATCAAAGTTCAGTTTATTATGTCCCACAACCTGCCTGACTTCAAGTATGTGTAAGTTATTGGATTTGTCCTGAACAAACTCAGCTCTGGGATAGATGTCCTGTACAGGGACTATATGGTGTCTGGTGTCACGATAGGAATGTGTGTATATATTGCTACAGCAGTGTGGAGAAGTATTTCTCTCTTTTTTAAAAAAAAAATTTATTTATTTATTATATATGAATACACTGTAGCTGTCTTCAGACACACCAGAAGAGGGCATCAGATCTCATTACAGATGGTTGTGAGCCACCATGTGGTTGCTGGGATTTGAACTCAGGACCTCTGGAAGAGCAGTCAGTGCTCTTAACCACTGAGCCATCTCTCCAGCCCCCGAGAAGTATTTCCTGAGGAAATAATAACTAAGGTGTGAGGAAGGTTAGGAGTTTGCACTGTGTATGCTAGGGAGGCAGAGGCAGGTGGATCTCTGAGTTCAAAGCCAGCCTGGTCTACAGAGTGAGTTCCAAGACAGCCAGGGCTACACAGAGAAACCCTGTCTCAAAAAAAAAGGAGAGAAAAAGTATACAAAGGAGAGTGAGAGACCTTGGGACAGTGAGCCCTAAATGGATGTCTGTCAAATTCCCTCCACCTCTGGGAACCCCAAAGGAGCAGAGGCAGAAAGAGACTAAGAGTCAGAAGGGATGAAGGACACCAAGAAAGCAAGGCCCTCTAAAGCAAAAACTGTCAATAAACATGAACTCAGAGAACTGAGGTGGCGTGCACAGGGCCTGCATGGATCTCCATCAGAGAAGAGCCTCGAGCCCAAAGAAATGGGCACCTATCCCCATCCCTAATCCAGACGCTATCTCCAATTGATGACCACTTGCAAATAAAAAGTCACTCTCCAAGGAAGCCTCACTTGAAAAACTACTTGTAAGTGCAGACTGAATGCCCAGCAGTAGACAGCCAACAGTAAATGAATTCAACTGCATCTTTAATGGTTCCCGGTCTGGAAATGTACTGTCAGGGTCTTTCCTTCCCACTCCCACGCCCCCACTCGTTTTATATTTTATGGCTTCCAGTTTAGTGTTTTTATGGAATTCCCAAGTGTGCCAACATGGGTCTTTGATTCTTACGCTTTCCTTTGGACTCTTTCCCGTCTGTTTGCCGTGTCCTATTCCAACGTGTTAGGTTTATTTTAATTCTCCCTTAGAAGCCTGTTTCATGCCGGGCGGTGGTGGCGCACACCTTTAATCCCAGCACTTGGGAGGCAGAGGCAGGGGGATTTCTGAGTTCGAGGGCAGCCTGGTCTACAGAGTGTGTTCCAGGACAGCCAGGGCTACACAAAGAAACCCTGTCTCGAAAAACCCAAAAAAAAAAAGAAGAAGAAGAAGAAGCCTGTTTCATATTGAGAATCAGGAAAGGAGTGGATCCAGATGGGATGAGAGGTGGGGAGGACTAGAGGGAGGAGAAACTGTCATCGGGATACATAGTATGTGAGGGCAAAAAATTACTTTATGTATATGGTGTTGTACCTGTGGAGACCAGAAGAGGGCATCATCAGCTCCCCTGGAACTGGAGTTACAGATGGTTTTGAGCCACCAAGTGGGTGCTGGGAATCAAATCTAGGACCTCTGGAAGAGCAGCCAGTGCCCTTAACCACTGAACCATCTCCAACACCCCCCCCCCCAATAAAATATACTTTCAATAAAAGGATAAAAAAATTTTAAGTGTACAATGACAAATTGGACCTAGGGCCATTGGAGATTGTTTTGTAAATAGGATATGAATCTTTTGGCTGAGTATGGTAGTTTGTGGCTATAATCCCAGCACTCAGGAGGCAGAGGCAAGAGGCTTGTGACTGGTTCAGACCTCAGTGAGAGCGTGTTCGAAAATAAATAGCAACAAAAAACTTTAGCCTCAAAAAGTTCAAACTAGGAGGACACAGTCTCAAGTCAGTAATGAAAAGGAGGCCATTTGAATTATAACAGGATAAACGGATTACACAGCTATGCTGACTCATACCGGTGCGCCCATGGTCGCCTGTGTTGATTCTACATGAAGACAGAAAAGGAATTCTTTCTGTTCTCACCAGCTCCGTTTTGCTATTCATTCCTTTGGTTTGCTTCCTTCTTCCTGGGTTACCAATTTAGTCTATTGGTGACACCAGTGTGTCTGATTTCAGACCATGAAATACAAATTCCAGCCTGGCAGGATAACTCAATAGGCAGCACCCGAGTTCAATCCAGAAGCCACAGTGGAAGGAGAGAAGCAGCTCCCAAAAGTTGTTCTCTGACCTACACACACACACACACACACACACACACGAGTTCAAGTTCCCAGCATAGACAACCAACACTTAGTACATGTATTGGCCGTGAACTACCATCACTCTGATTGCCATGTCCTTACTGCCACATCCTGAAAGACCACAGTGATGTTTCCACTAAGTCAAGCTTCTTCATGCAGGCAAGGGTGATAGTGTTCTGACACGGTCTCATCCCATCAGTACCGCCAAGCAAAAGTAAAAGGTGGTCGGGCAGTAGTGGCGCATGGCTTTAATCCCAGCACTTGGGAGGCAGAGGCAGGCGGATTTCTGAGTTCAAGAGTTTGAGGCCAGCCTGGTCTACAGAGTGAGTTCCAGGACAGCCAGGGCTACACAGAGAAGCCCTGTCTCGAAAAACCAAAAAAAAAAAAAAAAAAAAAAAAAAAAGTAAAAGGTGATTTTTTTTGAGAGTTCTGTACTCTAAGATGGAGTGGTTTAAGGTGACCTTTTCAAGATGGAGCTCTGGTGGATAATAGTTCTTGGTATAATAGTTTGAGACCAACAAGGTAAAGAAATGGAAATCAGATTTTCCACTCTCTTCTGGGTTGTGGGGAATTGAACCCAGGCCTGAATTATATCCCCAGCTCTGTCAGTTTTTGATAAGAACAGGGAGTTAGGGATTTGGGCAGGTGAGTTCAGACTCTCACCATCGGAGAAGGAAGTGCTTTTTTTGTAAACAACCAACCCTGGAGATAAGTGGGTTCCAGGAAGTTCCTAAGTTCACAGCGAAGATCTGTACTGATTTACAGTCTGTTTCGTAGGTAAAAATTTCCTAGAACAAATACTAAAGCTACAGTGATTAATGTACAGATCTTTAATCTTAACAGTGATAAATTATGGGCTACAGATATAATAAAATCTTAGGAAACGCCCTAATTCAGTGTATGTGGAGAGCTTTCTTTTTTTTTTTTCTAGTGCTGAGGAATAAACTTGGGACCTCATGTGTGCTACTCAGGCACTTCAGCTTGATATGTTGGATTAAAGGCTTGTTTGTTTTTCAAGGCAGAGTTTCTCTGTGTAGTCATGGCCATCCTGTAACTCACTCTGTATAACCAGGCTGACTTGGTACTCAGAGATTCACCTGCCTCCTTTGGCGTTCTGGGATTAAAGGTGTGTGCCACGAGCACCAGGCAAAACATTTTAAACTTACATAAATTTTATATTAAGTCAGGCCTTGTTGTGCAGAGCTACCATTCTAGCTACTCTAGAGGTTGAGGCAGGAGGATTCCAAATTCAAGACCTGCATGGGCTACAGAGAAAATTCAAGACTAGATCCTGTCTCAAAAAAAAATATATAGCCTATAATCACACTTGGGAGTTAGAAGGAGAAGACCAGGAGGAGTTCAGAATTATCCTCACGCACATAGTGAATGCACAGGTCCGTGCTTGCACAGGTGCTCGCACATTCCTCGCTTATGGAAGTCCGAAGACAATTTGTAGGAGTTGGTTTTCTTTTTCCACCATCTGGGGCTCAGGAATTAAACTCAGGTTGTAGAGAGTTGGCAGCAATCCCCTCTATCCACTCAGCCATCTCACCAGCCCCGCTTTTACATTTTTGAATAATTTAAGATGCAATTCAGTGGTAGAGTACTTGCTCAGAGTGTACTAAGCCCTAGGTCCAATCCATAGTACTGAAAAAAAACCTTAAAAATGTTGAACATAGTAATTCATGCTTATAATTCCAGCTTTTACAAGACTGAGACAGGAGGATTGCCATAGGTTCAAAGACAACTGGGATACATAGTCTGGTTCAAGGCAGCCTGAGTTTCAGTAAGTCTACCAAAATGCATGCATACACCAGGCATAGTAGCGCATAACTTTAATCCCAGCACTAGGAAGGCAGAAGCAGACAGATCTCTGTGAATTTGAGGTCAGCCTGGACCACATAGTGAGTCCTTGTCTCAGAAAAAAAGAAAAACCCACAAAAATTCAGTCAACAAGTTGAAAGGGGAAAGGGGGATGGGAAGGAGTGGGTAAATTCCACTCACTCTGATGATGACCATGCAAAATCTTCCAAATACAAGGAACTGTAAGGAAGGATGGGTTAAGGGGGAGCTAGAAGGGAGAGCCAGTTGAAAGTTAATTTAAGATGCAGGGAAACCCACAAACCTCCCACTCTGAAAGTCTGCTCCAATTGACCCTCAGGAAAATGCTGAGATTTCTTGCTTGAAAAAGGAGAAACAGAGCTCTCTCGACTGAAGATCAGGGTGGATGAGACGGCCCAGCCTTTACAGCTCAGCCAGTAAAGACTTGCTCACTGCCAAGCCTGAGGACCTGAGTTTGACCTCCAGACTGCAAGGAGGAAGGAGAAGCCAACTCCTAAATGCATTCTACTCCCACACCCCCACACATGGGAGTGCATGTGCACATTGAAAATAAAAGTAAATCAAGAACTGAAGGCTACACGTGCAGTTAAAAGCTGGATGGATATAACTGGTTTTGCTGTCTCATAGTTTCGAGTACTTCCTTTACAGTTCTTCCCACAGTGATTTGCAACAATCATGAACTAACTTAAACACTGTCCTACTCTTACCTAGGTAGAACTCTCTCTGTTTACTTATCACTGTTTTCAAGGCATCAAAGAATCTCC